AGACCTGGCATATAATATAAAGTTTCAATTTACACTTTCCTTTGGGGCACAGAATGCAATTTAAATATAAGAAAACTATTTAAACACTTAGACAACAAGTACTATCGAATTTAAAAAATCGTTATAATATAATGAATTTGAGCATGTTCTCTAAGCAACGGAGCAGTTACATTTGCTTATAATGCTGCTACATAGCCAACAAATACAATAATAATTATCAACAAGCAATTATTTATTGTGACATTGTCACAATGCTGGAATGCAATTTTAAATCATATTTTAAATTTATTTAATTTAAAATATATGCTTTCCACCTCAAATTAGTACTGTAGTATCTTGTCTGTGTACATCATAATTTTCCTTTAACAATAGTCGTGCTGGTCTGTCTAACACCTTTCAGGGGAAAATTTTTGAATTGAAATAACATGACTTCCAGTTTGCATCGGAAGTTCATATATAGTTAATTGGACCCACCTGTCCCTAAGGTTTCCATATCTGGTCTGGTCTTTCGTCTATCTAACTCTATTGTAGAGATTAAGGAAAGATGGATGGACAAACAACAGTGGAAATTTGAGTCTACAGTCGACCCCCTATAAGATCATTGATTATTCCGTTTTATATGAATTCCATATTGTATGAGTCACTTAGATTTTACAAATACGTGTACCGGGCTGTGAACGGCTCACGTATTTGTAAAATTTAAGTGACTCGTACAACATAGAATTCATATAAAACGGAATAATCAATGATCTTATAGGGGGGTCGACTGTACAATGTTTTCAAATTGAAGCCCAAAAATTTAGCACCTTTTGTCAGATTTAAATGTAAGTGGTTATGATTTAACTATTAACTACATGATCATTTGAAAAGTACAGACATTTTGTTTAATTTTTATAAGTACAGTACAGACACGGACAGTGCCTTTAAAGTACGGACTATTCATACTAAATATAACGTTTGGTAAACCTATGTTTAATGTTTCTAGTTAATCAGCTGAGAATATATATTATCAGTTGTTATTGTATATATAGCTCTGGTATAATGTAAGCCAGAAAAACATAATAGCAAAAATTTATACAACTTTACAAATTGACGAAGACTTATTTCAAACAGTGGCGTGCTGTCCTTGGAAGCAGTGGAAGTGCCGCTTCCCTTGTATTTTCTAAAATATAAAGACATATTGTGCAATTATTTTCATATTTTTACTTACTTTGAATTAATTAAAATTAATATTTTATTATAACCACATTATGTATCTTATTACAAATTTTTATACTACATGTGAAAAAAACGATAAGATTACTATTGTATATTCAAATATCAGTGGGAGAATGGAACACTGTATTGTTGAATATGGGACAGCTTCCAAGCAGCCAGATTATATGCATTTACATGTGAGCTTTACAGAGCACCAACCTCACATGGTTTAGCTGGTGGAAAGCTACACACCATAATACTTCCAATGATTCTATCCAGGACTGGTTCTGGGCTGTTAGCTGCCTGTCTGCTAGATATTTGGCCACCCTCACCCCATTATGTGAATTGCGAGTAGATTTATAACTTAACCCCAACCGATAGGAGTTTACTGGTGTGTTTTTATGATAGTTCTGTAAAGTTGACAGGAGTTTAAAAAAAATCCATTAAAATATTTGGATCAATCTTTACCTATGTGCACCATCATGGCAGCGGTCATGACTGTTCATGCTCCTGATGGACTTGACTTGATACGCGTGTTTAAAAACTATCATTAATCAATAACTAGTGACATTAAACAATCAGCAGCCTGCTGGCAGCTCCCCTCCAGGAGGAGTCTGTCGGGAGCATGAACAGTCAGGACTGCCACTATGACGGTGCACATAGGTAAAGATTAACCAATATTTGATATATTTATTCTGCTTTTATTCTGCTCTCCCATTTTGTATTACTTACAGATTTCGATGTAAACTAGAGTGATATTACAATTTAGTATGTCTCATCTATAAGGGGATGCAGAAAAAACATATACAATTCTTGTACAAAGTTAAAAAATTAACTGTTACTTTGGCAGCATCATTTACAACTAAATTTAATGGATGAGATGCACGAGGTACAAAAAAGCTCTAGAATTTATTAGCCACTCATAGGGAGCTATTTCACTAAGTGGATTGCTTTAAGATTTAAAAAGTAAAGAATATTTTGTTATTTTTATGTATGTTTCTTTACAAAGCTATATCTAATTATAATTTTCTTTAAAAATATATTCATAAAATTGAAGAATATTTTGTACCAGGTATGTATATTCATTACACATTTTATTTCACCAAGTAAGTTTTTATAATTTTATTTTTAATTGTTATTCGGCTAGTGATTCGGAATGTAATTGTGATATTAAAAATACATTTAGAGAAGTCTATGGTTTTTATTGGCTTACTGAACAAACAAATATGAATGGACCCTAGACCATCACTGACGCGCAAGTAACTGATTGCCCCTGGAAGTCGGCTTCTTAAAGAAACACAGCTTCCCTATCATCAAATGTCACGGCATGCCACTGATTTCAAATAATCTAATCATTAGGCTACAATAACAATACTTCATTTAAATAACACAAGACAAAAAAAGAAATTTTTATAAAGAAAGCTTACAGTTATGATTTACCATATCATTTGTGTAAACCCTTAGCCTAAAATTATATCTAAAATTTAAACTTAAAAACTTATATTGAACAGGGACTTATATAAAACAAAAAACTGAATTTGTTAGTAAAGTTGAAAATAAAAAAAAGGAGCAGGAAGAAAGAACAGTTGGCAGCAGTTCCATTTTTTTCTTTCTTTTCTGTTTTTGAATTTTTTTGTCTTTCAAATGGACTGGGAATGGAGGAAACAAAATGCTTCTCGATGATTTTTTTCATTTTGAAACAAAAATCCAGCAATGAGTTGCTTAACTTTTCTGGCAACATTTAAAACTTTGGTGATGTCATTTGTTATGATATTTTATTTTAAAAACTTTTTATATTTTTAATTATTATAAAATGGCATAAAGCTTAATTTTGAGGTTTAGGGATGTATTTTATAAAAAATTGTAAGTGATAAATAAGTAAAATCATCATTAAATCTGACCTATTCAAGATATGACATACAACCCTCTTTATCTTCCCACCTTGTTGACCTTTAACTATCAAAATTTAATAGCATCAATTCCCTTAATGCACAAACCTTGAACATTTCTGAAATTTTTCAACAAAAAGTATGGGAGTTATTAAGTTTCAAAGAGGGTGAACAAAATCACACATGCACACACACACACAAACTAACATCCATTCATACATATAGAAAAAAAAAAACCCCAAATTTTTTTTTTTGCATTTCTCGACATTTTAAGATCCCCTGGGTACAAAAATATAAAAATCTTGGAGGGTCATTTTTTGACCAATTGCTATATTTTCCCTCTGTTGTACTGTATATAATAGAGCCAGGAATGTAAAAAAAGAGGCTTGCAAAAATATGGAGGTCTAAGCTTTTGTTTTCTTTTTTTCCTTATCCTTCTCTCTCTTCACTAGCCAAATTTCTATCCAATATGTTCTTCCATGAATATGTAGGTGCAATTTCTTAAGTTCATTTTTCACTCTTTGTTATTAATTATTGAAATAAATAAATGTTTTTTTGTTTAGATCAAATCAACAAATTAAGGGAAGAGAACGTATTATTAGATGATGATGAACCAGTAAAAATATTAGAAGAGCATTATTTGGCATCATTTATTCCAAATATAGTAATTAAATATATCATTGAAAATGAAAAGCATCAATTACCATATGAAAGTGAACAGATTGGTGTTGTACTATTTGCCATTGTTTCAGGTAAGAAATTTAAGTTTTTTATAATACTGAAACACTTGGTAATGTAATTACCTTGTGACTTATCCTATAGTTAAAAATCACATACAAAAGTAGATTTGTTATCACTTCTAAAAGTATTTATTCATATCAAAAGGAAAAAATTTAAAAACATAAATGTCTTGTTGAATATTTAAATTTAAGGTTATTTTGGAAATAATATTACATTGTTATTTTCCAAGGAAAACATCATGATGAAATCAATAAAGACAAACAGTTATTTTATTGTGAAATCATCACAATGCTGGGCTGCAATTTTTAATCATATTTTTAAATATAAGTTTTTCACCTCAAATTAGTAGTGTCTTGCCCTGTATATCATACTTTCCTGCTAACAATAGAGTCGTGCCATTCATCTATCTAACACCTTTCAGGGGAAAATTTTTGAATTGAAATAACATGATCTCCAGTGTTTGTATATAGAAGTTTGTATATAATTAATTGGGGCTGCCTGTCCCAAAGCTTTTTACATCTGATCTTGATTTTCATCTATCTAACTCAATTCTTGAGATTACGGAAGGACAGAGAGTCAGTGGGAATTCATAGGTCTACAATTTTTTCAAACTGCAGCCCAATAATACTGGAGCATGTATGCCACACTATCTAAATATTGAACATTTAAAAGATTTTGGTTAGCAGATTTTATATTCATTATTAAATTCTCTTTAATAGTCTGTAGTTTCACAGTGAATATAAACCAAAAAAAATCTTAACTAAAGACTATGAAAGTGAATTGATGAAAATTTTTAAATTAAAATGAATTTTGAAATTTATATTTTTAGGTAGTGATGAATTAATTGAAAAATTTTTGTTTTATGACATGAATGGCACTGAAGAGATTTCTATGATGTATAATAATTTTTTTGGACCAATATTTACAAGTAAGTTTATAAATTCAAATGAAATTTAATGTTCTAACTAATAACTAAAATGTCAATTATAAATTTTTCCTAATGTTTCTAATCTTATCAAAATGATGTATAAAACAATTTTTCAGAAATAATGGCAGCAAATGGTGACATTGTCAGATTTACAGGTAAGCATTTAAAAAGTTTTTATTAAAACATTCTAGATACAATACAATACATTATACAGGGTGATCGGAAAATGTCTGGCCAAAATTTAAAGGGGGTTAGAGGGGACGAATATAAAAGGATTTGCAGTACAATGCTTGTCTGGAAATGCTGCATGAAGGTGGTAGAGGGCACTGTGTAAGGCAGTCAAAACAAGCTGACAATGCGCGAAGCTGTCATTCCCCGCTGTGATTTCATAAAGCATGCAGCACTTCACGAATGCTGAACTAGCAGATATCCATCTGATGTATGGAGCTGCAAATGGAAATGGGAGAGCTATGCAAAATTTGGGCTTGTTAATAAAGGGCTTGTTACATTTGTTTGTGTCTCTTTCCTTCTACCTTTCCACTTTCTTTACTCCAGGACTTTCACGCAGTGTTTCCAGACAAGCATTGTACTGCGAATCCTTTTATATTTGTCCCCTCTAACCCCCTTTAAATTTTGGCCAAACATTTTCCGATCACCCTGTATAAATATAGTATGTCTGGCTAAATTATTTTGTAATTTATATTGTAATTTAACTTATTTAATAAGTTAAATTACTAAATATTTGCTTTTCAAAAATCTTTCGGAAATTTTTTATAAATGAAAGTTTCTAAAAGAATTTTTAAGGATAGTTGTATTTTGGAATTACATTGTAATTTCTGTGTTGTGAATTATTTTGTTAGAAAAGGAACATCAATCTACATCAACATGTGTCTTGTCCGACTACCTTTACTTTATTAATGTCATATATGTGTTTTATATGACTGTGGGAACTTTCTTTCTTTCTTCAGTATGGCATTTCTTGGAATAAATTATTTTTCTACTTCAGGAAATGCCATACTAAAGAGAGGAAGAAGGAAAAGGAGAATCTATTACAATATAAATTATATTATATATACAGTGTATATAAAAAGAGATTAGGCGTAGTAGTAGAATGATTTCATTGCATTTAATTTGTAATTGTTTTAATTTATTGATTATAATCAAATTTTTCATTAATAGAAATACAATGAAATGTTATAGGAAATTTTATTTGTTCATAAAAATTAATGCATGTTGCCAGATCTCATTTAAAATTAATTCAATCACCAAAAATGATGGATTAATTTTAGGTGAGATCTGGTAATACATATTAATCTAATTTAATGAGAGTTCATTAAAGAAAATTATTATTTAGCACTATTACATGATACTTTGACTTTTTCTTACTTTGATGAAACTACAGAAAAAGTTGCTCAGTATGGTTTTATGCACTCATTCTTATAACTTTTACACTTGATTTATTTGTTTTTTAAATTTTTTAAAATATTTTAAATTTTTATCACTTTTATTTATTTTATTTATATAAGTATTTATTAAATTGAATAATTTTTATTATTCAATTTAATAAATACTTATAGAAATAAACCAAGAAATAAATATTTACCTGCTTTTGCTGGTAAATATTTATTTCTTGGTTTAATCTCTTTCCTTTAATTTTTTTAAACACCTATTTTTTTACAGCTTTACAATAATTTTATGTCATTTTATATCAACATTTTATTTTTTAACATAAAAATTTTTTTAAACTTGGCAATAATTTACACAGATAAAAAATTTTAGTTATTTAATATTTACTTTATCATAGTTTTAACTTTTGTGAAAAGTGCAATTGCTACTAAGGTAATAGTACAACAATTTTGAGACAGTAAAAAATGAAATAACAATAAATTTATTGAGATAACACAATGCACAATAAAAGGGATTTGCAGAGTATTCGCCCAACTCTGACCAAGAACAAAAGGGTCCAGCACGTGGACCTGTGTGACAAAAAAAGAGGCTCTCACATTTACAATAATAAAAAAAGGGCATGATATTTATTACAAAAATTTACTTTTTAAAACTAACTTATGCCTAAGGATGTGGAATGGGAAATTAAGATAGAAGAGAATAGACAAAGGAAAGGGGTACCTGTTTGGTTGATCATTTTGTTTCTGAGATGACTATTTTAGTTGATTCTCAGTGGGATTTCATCCTTTCTTTTTGGGAAGGTTATCATATGCTTTTCATTTTTTTCTTGAGATAATGAAGATTGTTTTCATCAATGATTGTCTTAATCCTTAGGACACTGGTAGCATGAAGCCTTCAGAAAACTCTTAGGTTCTTCACTATGGTCCAGATTGACCTTCATCTGTGTTCTCCTCTCCTTTCTTTGATAAACTGTTACTTCCACATTTAGGCCTTCAAGTATTAACTCTCCCCACAGGATGGTTTAGAATGTCAATGAACAACTGAGTAAAGTAGAAATAAAGAGCAGGAGAAAGTTTTAGAAACAGGAAATGATAAGGATCGAGGACAGAAACTACTGTGAGATCTGCGAGTTATACAGAGACGCACACTCCAGATTAGATAAGATAAAATACAATTATTTATTTACTCGCTAGTTCAAATACAGATTTTATAGGATACCAACAATTCTAGTTGTTCCTTTTCCTGAACCGAACGTCCAATTAACTAAAATTATCTTACTTAATACTAGGTTCCTATTACTACTTAAACTAATTGAATACAGCTGGCTTATTCGAAGATTTAGAGGGTGAAAGAAAAGAATAAGGAAAGAGGGTACCTAAACTTGATGATGCAGGTTGAATTGTGTGGGCTCGTGGATGAGGCTTCTCGTCGGTCTGGGGGGGCTGATTCACTCAATTCTTGCTTCACACTGAGATATTAATCCAAAAGGGGCGATCCGTCTGGTTCCTCTCAATTAAGTTCCTTTTTCTTTCTCTCGTTCTAAAGTCCTCTTTTTCTTTTCTCACCATACAGTGTCAAACTTACAGGGGAGACTTTCCTTTCGATCTCCCCTTTCCACTTCCTTCCTCTCAGTCTCCCGTCCTTTCCCTTCTCCTCTCACTTCCAGTCTGCCTTCGTTTCTCCTCTCCCCTAACTCCCTTCATTCTCCCCCTTGTTCCTCCTCTCACCTTAGTCCACTCATATCCCCTCTCAAAAGCCTTCCATTCATTCCTTTCCTCTCAGTCCACCCACACACTCAAGTCAATGGGAAGACGATAACGTTATAGAAGAGTAAACAAATAGGACAGACGAAAGTGAAGTGAAGATATGTATACAAATCATATGGTTTAAAATATGGCATGTAGCCACACTACAATCTAGAATATGCTATACAGTAATACCCCGAACTTACGCGATAGGTGGGACTGAGCGGTAACTGCGTAAGTCGAATTCACGTAAGTCAGGGTATAATTTCGCATATAAATACATACAAATGATTTTTATTCGGGGCCGGAGACTAAAGAAAACAATAATTTAGAAAAAAATGTTTAATGAAATCTTAGGTAATACATATGTATAACAAATTAGGCCTATATTATTTTACAATTTTTCACATTTACTTGATTATTACGCCATAATTTTAACATTGTTTCCATCTCAGCGATAATACTGTGACATTTACGAATGATGCTTGAACTTAAAGATTGAGCATTTTTCACAGCTTCGAGAATTTTTTCTTTGTTTTTTATAATTGTTCTGACCAACAATTCCGGTAGATCAAACTTCTTTGCCAATTCACAAATTTTCATTTTTGTATCAAAGTCTTTAATAATGGTTACGTTCATAGTCAAACGAGTTAAACGCATTAGTAACGAATCGTTCAAAAAGTCTAACGGAATAGGAATAACGATGACTTAATTCTCGTTTAACTCGTTCGACTTTACAAACATACCCAATGGTAACTTTACATTCCAAAGATAAAGTTTTTCTTTTCTTGTTTGATGCAGAAGAATGTTCTACTTCATTTGGATGACATAGTAGAGTCTCTCGAGGCTCTATAGATATAACAAACACAGAAATAAATAACACAAAATAAATTGTAGCTATATGTGGATTCCGCACGACACGTCCGAACATGTAAGCTGAACAATAGTGTGGGGGGAGTGAGTAATTAAGGGTTGCGTGGCGCTCAAACAAAAGACGAATCGACGAGATTTGAAAATCGCGTAACTACGGGTTCGCGTAAGTCGGGGTATTACTGTACTAATGTGAGAATATATGAGAGACGAGGGGTCAAGGCCCTCTAATTGTCAGATCTGAAGGATTCACTCACCTTGTCACTGGATGGCTTAATCTAACAGAATTCAAGTGGTAAAATTCTTTGTGGGGTTGTGCAAATCAGTAATAACAATAAACTAAGAAGGCCATTCATAATATTAAATCAACAATTTAATAAAGTAAAACAGACAAATAAAATACAAAATGAATATACATTGGACCTAAATTCTCTACGTTGCAAGAGAGAAAGTTTACAATAAGTTCATATTATCTCGTTGGACCTTTTCTTTCATTGGGAGATGCCGATGATAGCCGGTCCAGTGGCAATAGGAGGTTAGATGGTGAAAGCAGGAGGAATAGCACTTGACAACTTGTCAAGGAACTCCCTATGTGGCAAGAACTGCTTCTGTATGGCAAATACTTCTGTCGTAGACTGCCCTATTTGGCACAAACTGTGTCAAGTCTATAAAAATTTGTCTTTTTATCTATGCTTTCCACCAATCATTATTTGGGAAAACCATCATATGATGGGATGATCAGTTATGTCACTTGTCCAGATGGTTGGGAAAAATCAAGATAAGATGTCTCTGAAAGCAAACTGAACTTCCCTTTTTCACCAGAGTAGAGTTATTCAGCATTTTTTTCAGGATGTAGTTTTGTTGCAATTATTTCAATGTTTTATTATATTAAAACATATAAAATGTTAATACAAGAATAAAAAGATAAAATCAGTTTAATGTTTGATTATATAGAATGGAGATTTGTGAAAATTATATAGATTAAACTGACTTTATCCAGCTTGTCACACTAACTTAAAATTATGGTGTACAGCCACACTTCCTTTTAAATCTTAATTTGTAGTTTTTAAATGGTTTTAGATTACATTTCAATATACAATCTATATTTGTGGCATCTTCCCAGATAAATTTGT